AGAAGAAGTATCAGCGGTTTGGCGCCTGCCTTTGGCCCAGGGCGCGATCCTGGAGACCCGGGATCGAGTCCCACGTCGGGCTCCCGGTGCGTGGAGCCTGCTTCTTCCTCTGCCTATGTCTCTGCCTTGTCTCTGCCTCTCTCTCTCTCTGTATGACTATGATAAATAAATAATTAAAAAAAATTTTAAAAAAATGCCTCGGATGCTAGAGAGCAGCTTTGTAATACATCAGGATTAGAAAGCTCCTGAGAGCTCGCATCCACCGTCTCTGTTCTAGGGCGTGCCCCCTGCCCACTTCTAGCCTGGGAAGCCAAGGGAGGCCCTCCACCCAGGGTCCAGACGTCTGCAAGGGGCACGAGTGGACTTGTCCAGCAGGCCGGAAGGCCTCCCCATCCAGAGCCGAAGGACACAGCAGGGGACGAGGGGGGCCCCTCGCACACGCCTGGCTGGCCCAGACGTGCACCGGTGTGCTGGTCACCTGGCAGGTGCACAGCCCACGCCTCCGGTTGTCATCCCCTCCCTCCCCGAGCTCAGGGCCGACAGCTCGCATACCTGCACCCGCGCACCTACTAACTTGGGTGGGTGGTACAAGAGTCAGCGTTTTCTGGACACTCCCATGATCCTGGGGAGACCCGCTGTCCCGTGCAGCGCAGCAAAGGCTGAGCCACTCTGCGCGGCAACCCTACGGCCAGACGCCTCTGGGGATGGGGAGCTCACTTCTCAGGATGCCACCAAACTCCTGTGCCTGTCAGGCGGGGCTCATGGGGCTGTGCTCAGCTTCCCCTGGCCCCCATCCTGCCCCAGCACTAGCCCCTCCACCCGCACGGCCCCTCCCCAGGGGCTCCTTTGCCGCACCCCACCCTCCGTGGAGCACACAGAGCGCCTCTTGCCTGTGCCGTCCAGAGGTAGTCCAGCCGCAGCTTGACGTCCACCTGCCGGGCGTGCAGGGCCAGGGTGCACGAGAACAGCAGGATGGCCATGATGGGCTCGAAGCTGAGCCCGGACACTGCGTTGCCCCTGGGGGAGGTGGGGGGGGTGAGGAGGGAAACCTCTTCAGTAAGGAGGGCCCAAGACCCGTCCACGTGCCCCTGGGGCAGGCCAGTCAGCAGCACCTGCCACTGGCCCGACTGCAGCACCTCCCGCCTGAACCGAGGCCTCGCTGGCCCTGGGCCCAACTGGACACACAGAGAAGCCGCAGAAGCAGGCAGCGCCCGACGCGTGTGTCCGGGGGGCCCGGCAGCAGCGCACCTACCCCGAGGCCCAGGTGTAGCCGCTGAGCTCCAGGACCAGGATGTAGGACCCATTGAGCACGAGGAGCAGGATCATTTTGGGCAGGGAGGACACTCGCAGGAAGATGGCCAGTGGGAGCGTGCCCACTAGGCCGTAGAGCAGGGCGTGGGGCGCAGACTCGCAGGGCGCAGCGGGCAGCACTGTGATCTGGCCGCTGGGAGTCAGGACCACCAGGGTCCTGTTGGGGCTGGAGCTCCAGGCCCAGGGCAGACAGCCCACCTGGAGGGGGCGGAGGGGTGGAGGGGACAGGGGTGGAGGGGGAGGGCCGGAGGGGGCGGGGGTGAAGGGGGAGGAGGAGCAGAGAAAGCAGGGCCAGAGGAGGCAGGGGCAGAGGGGGCAGGGGAGAAGGGGCGGAGGGGGGGAGGGGGCAGAGGAGGCAGGGGTGGAGGAGACAGGGGTGGAAGAACAGAGGAAGAGGGGGCGGTGGGGGCAGAGGAGGCAGGGGTTGGAGGGGGCAGGGGCAGAGGGGACACAGGGTCAAGAAGAGGCAGGGGTGGAGGGGATGGTGGGGAGTGGAGGCAGCAGGGGCAGGAGTGGAGGGGGCAGGGGCAGAGGGGCAGGGGCAGAAGAGTAGGGGTGCAGGGGCAGGGGAGGAGGAGCCAGGGGCAGAAGAGCAGGGGTGGAGGGGCAAGGGTGTTGAGACAGGGGCAGGGGTGGCAGGGAGACGGGGGCTCAGGACCAGCCGGTCTCAGACCACCTGCACCGCCCACCTGCTGCTACAGCTTCCTGTGGGAAGGAGGGGATGCCCCCAGGTGCCGCCCGCCCCCCCCTTGCTGTGCCCCCCAGGCTCCTCCCAGTGTAGGCTGGGAGAAGCAAGAGACCCCCTTGCCCCCCCAGACATCCCGTGCCCTCTCCGGACCCCCTACTGTGACTGTGGCCCTGCCTCCCTCCTGGTACTCAGCGCCCCACCCCCTGCCCTGACTCCTGCCCCAGCTTATACTGCGCACTGAGGAGGGGCTGGGTGTCCCTTCACCTAGAGACAGCCCCCCTCAGCCCCACACACCTCGCGGGGCTCCCCCCGCTACATCCTGCCGCCTGCGGACATGCTCACCACACATCCTTGGGCCACGGAGCAGATCAAGACCACCATGAAAATACACAAGACGGTGCGGATCTGGATGGTCAGGCATCCTGGAAAACACTGGACAATAAAGCATATTACTGTGAACACAGGCGTTTCTTAGCGTTGGTTCGGGTCGCAGGAATGGTCACAGCACAGAATGGGCCGCGCGCCCTGGTGCCGCTGGCTCCCCACCCAGGCCCCCCCTCCACACATCTCAGCTGTCCCCAGGCTTCCTCTCCCAGGTTGACGCTGCCAAAATTAAAAGAAACAAAAAATACTGTCTTTCAGTGAAAACAACCACTCCTGCCACCGTGTGCCCCACGCTGTGCCTCTGGCACTGGAATGAACGGATTAATTTGACATTTTTATTGCATTAAATCCTTCCTATGTTATGTATTTTTTAAGTTTATATATTGATACTTATTATATTATATAACAAGGATTTACACATACTTGTGTCTTTTTTAGGTACTTTAAGTTTTATCATTTTCTTCACATAGGTTTTACGCTGTTTTTTTTTTTAATTTTTATTTATTTATGATAGTCACACACACACACAGAGAGAGAGGCAGAGACACAGGCAGAGGGAGAAGCAGGCTCCATGCACCGGGAGCCCGACGTGGGATTCGACCCGGGTCTCCAGGATCGCGCCCTGGGCCAAAGGCAGGCGCTAAACCGCTGCGCCACCCAGGGATCCCATTACGCTGTTTTTGATACTAGTAATTTTATTTTAAATCTGTTTGGGGGAACCTGGGCAGCTCAGGTCATGATTTCAGGGTCCTGGGACCGAGTCTCACGACGGGCTCCCCGCTCAGCAAGGAGTCTGCTTCTCCCTCTCCCTCTGCCCGTCCCCAAAATTGTGTTCTTTCTTGCTCTCTCTCAAATAAAATCTTTTTAAAAGAAAGAAGGCAGCTTAAATACATTTTGCAGTAGTCAACACATGACTTCGTGGATAAAAGTGCAAAGTTCTTTTTAGATTCACGCTCCTGAAAATCGAAACAAAAACTAAAATAAATTAGGGATCCCTGGGTGGCGCAGCGGTTTGGCGCCTGCCTTTGGCCCAGGGCGCGATCCTGGAGACCCAGGATCAAATCCCACATCGGGTTCCCAGTGCATGGAGCCTGCTTCTCCCTCTGCCTGTGTCTCTGCCTCTCTCTCTCTCTCTGTGTGAATATCATAAACAAATAAAAATTAAAAAAAAAAACTAAAATAAATAAAAAAAAAAAACTAAAATAAAGACCGCAGGGACCCTGCACAAGACGCTGACGAGACTGGCAGCCAGGCAGGGCCGGCCCCCTACGCGGCCCTCCCCTGGGGAAGACCGACCCTCCTGTCCCCACCAGCTGGCCTTCCACGTCCTACAGGGCTCCCACGGCACAGCCTCGGTTCCAGATTCCGTTCGGGATTCCTGAGCCCAATGCTGCCGCGCCGCGCAGACATGCTGGGCCCCCAGATCTCGGGGAGAGGAGCCCCCTGCAGCGGCACCAGCCCCGACTGCTCACACCTGGCACTGGCCACCTCCCTCCCTGTCCAATCTCGTGTCTGCCCACCCCCCCCCGGGGACGGAGATGTGCCCACGGACTCTTGCCCAGCCGACAAGGCACACGCAGCTCACGCATTCGCTCAGCAAACACGGGGGGGAGGGGGGCTCCTCCCGCTGTGGACATCAGGAGCCCCTGGGGGCACTGCCCTGGCCTGGCCTCTGGTGGCCTCTGGTGACTGGAGGGCCACCGGCCGACACTCAGCAAGCTGTGCCCGGAGTGCAGGGAGGCTGAAGCGGGAGGCGGCCTGGAGTGTGCAGGCGGGGCTCAGAGGCGGGGGCGGCCTGGGGGGTGGATGCGCCGTTCCCATGTGGCTGCCAACCAGCCAAGCGGTGGCGCGTTCCTACGACGATGCAGAACGCGGGACACAATCTGCCCCGTGGCTCCTCCGGTCTGGCCCTCCCTCCGCGCTCTACTCACTGAAGGGTATACGCGGCGGGCGCTAGCCGCTCCCGGATGTCCTACGAATGGGCAGGGACTTACGAGTCCTGGATGCACTCATGCAGGACAGCTCTGCTCCCACTACCCACGTGCCAGCGCCACACGACGCTCCGCGGAAACGAGAGAGCCAGCGAGCCGCCGGGGGCTGGCCTCGGTCACCTCCGACCCGGGGCGCCCGCTGAGCGCCTGTCACACCATCCACACTGCGGGCAGCCCAGTTCCACTCCCTCAGCTGCCCGGGGACGGCTCCCCCGCACTCAGTCCACAGCGCACGGTGACATCCAGGGATCCGGTGTCTTGGGACCCAAACCTCGAGGCCACTGAGCACAGCGGAGCGCACAGGGCCGGGCACACCGCCTCACCGGGTGCAGAGAACACGCCAGGGCTAGGACGCGGGCCCACAGAAACCACGGGGTGCTGTGGCCTCGCGCGACCTGTCATCCTCCTCGCGGGCCATGCTCAGGGTCGTGGACTCCTGGCAGAAGGGCCTGCTCGGCAGGGTCACCCGACAGCCACCTCCCCAGCTGCCCAGCTGGCATCCTGGCCTAGCCTCGGTGCCTGTACCCCACCCTTCAGAACCACTGGCCCTGTCACTGCCCCGTCTCCACCCCGGGGGCAACCCCCAAGGCGGGAGGACAGGACCCGCTGTCCCCGGCAAACAGACAAAGGACCAGAGTCGGCAGGTGTGCACGGCCCCACCTGGGAGGCATCCCACACTGTAGAGGTTCAGGGGTAAGGAGCTGGGCCAGGATTCAGGGACGCAGCCCTGTGCTCCCAGGAGGGGCAGGAATCCAGCAGCAACATCAGACGACAGGGAGGGAGGGAAGGGCCGGCGCGCATGTGCACAGGCATGCGTTCTCGTGCACACACGGCCATGCACACGCATGGACACACCACACAGGCACACTTACAGATGCACAAGAATGTGGTAAGAAAGGGAAGCAGCCAGGGGCCCTCAGGACGTGGGAACCCAGGCCGGGCAGGTGGCAGATGCACCCAGGGAGCTCGCGGAGCCCGTCACTAACTGCAGCCACGCAGGGCCTAAGCGAGATGGGCAGGAAGCTTCCCCCCAAAACCCCACCAGTAAACACCGACATGGGGACACCCTGCCCCCCGTGGGGGGGGGAACCCACTCTCAGGAACACTCTTGCACATGCCTGCCCGCCTGGGATGTCCAAACCCACCGGCCACACACGTGAAGCCCCTGGGTACGGGGACTCAGTGTTGATGGAATTCACATCCCAGCAAAATTCTCACAAACGTGAGCTTAGAGACAAATCCACAAAAACCCTTAGAGGCCATAAACCCCTGGGAGTGCCAGTCAGCAGAATCTGGCTTCTTCCTGAAAAGCCCCTAAAACTGCAGGGATGGAATTCCTCATAACTGGACAAAACCCAGGACAGCGGGGACAGACGGCACGGTGTCGGGAAACAGGAATCAGTCGTGGACGGAGCCACATTGGGCTGGGGTGGCACAGGACGCAAGGACACAGGAGGGGAAGGGGTGGTGCGCCAGGCTTTTCCATCGCCTCCCCTCGACTCACCTGGGCAGGCCGGCATCACCCCCCTCAGGGACATCAACGGCACGAGCCGTCGGCAGCAGTCTGGCCAGGCCCTGCTGGGGACGCACCCCTGACCGGCTGACAGGGGAGTGGACACCTGCCTCCTCGCACCTCCCCCTGCACAACCTCACTTTGGCCCAGGAGGTCCAAGAACGAGACAGGACGTGACCCAGCCTGTGTTCCACATTGATGTGGCCGCAACGTGAGAGCTGCTGGGCGTGAGCCCCACGCGACATCACACAAGACAGCACGGGCTGTGACACGAGGGGTGACGCGCGACGGGGCGTACGTCACATGCTGACAAAGGACGCGATGTGAACCGCAGACGTATTCGTGGCACATGGTGCCCAGCGCTCTGATGGCTGGGACGTGGCCGGGGACAGGAGAGGACGCGGTTGCGAGGGGGAGCCTCTGAACCCTCTGGGAGACGCACCTGTGCTTCCTGCCTGGCCCTGCCCACCTGCCCCAGCGCAGCTCCCCCTCGAGGGCAGAGGCTCCAGTGTCTGGATGCATGCTGGCCTCACCGGGGCCTCTCCCGCCTCCAACCCTGGCGCAGGCGCAGACCTGCCACCACTGGCACAGGGACCCACTGCCCGCCGGGCCCCCACCCCTGTCCCCGAGGGCGCTGCCCGGCTCCTGGACGCCCCACCTCCACACCCGTCACACTTCGGGGCCTCCTCGTTTGCATCTCTCTCTCCCCTTTCTTGATTCCTCAGACAACGCTGCTGCTGCCACTTCTCAGCTCCGAGTGTGGATGCTGACAGCGGTCCCTGTGAATTAAGCCCGTCCTGCGGGGCTGCACCCACCCCTCTGAGCTGCTGAGACGTGGGCACGGGGGTGCTTCAGCCACCAGCGCAGCCTCCCGACCCCCGTCGTCCCTACCCCGACCGAGGGTCCCTAACTCTTCATCCCGATTCCTGACGGGATGAGACAGGCTGGCTGAGAAGTGGACATGGCCAGCCCGTGGTGTCCAGGCGATGTGCACCTGTTCCCTCGAAGGCCCCTCGGCACGGGGCACCTGGACGCCAAGGCGCGCAAGGCCGAGCACGTGCAGTTCCTTCAAGCAGAATTCGGCTGACTCCCTGGATGCCCGGCCTGGCTACGCGACAAAGCGTATTTCTTCCTGCCCCACTAACGCCATCCCAACAATGCCCGGGATGGCCACGGATGAAGAAATGCTGTTCCAGCGAAATGCAGAGGAGGGGGTCCCAGAGGCACACGCGCCTCACCCTGAGGCCTGGCTCTCGGCAGAGAGCACAACTGAGTCCTCCTGGCTGGCCTCCACGGGATGTGTGGGCGGCTGTCTGTGAAGAGTCACCCGCCGGGGCCCGAGCCGCAAGGGGCGCACCAGGGCCTGCACCCTGACTCACCACCCAGGGTCATCTCAGAACTGCCACTCTGGCACTTTGCAACAGTAAGAGTGTCAGCGCCCACCTCGCCGTCGCCCGGGGGCAGACTTACTAGCACCTGTCTCACGCTGACCTGCCGCTCTTTGCTGTGTTCATCCAGCACCGGTGGCACCAGGGGCCACC